ATATTTGACCCAGTCATGTCCAGGGAAGAGGTGAATGACTCTCGTCGTTTATCTAAGATAGCGTCCTTGGTTTTCATGCCTCTGCCAGGATTGGGGATCTTTAGATCTAGTCTCCCCACCCTGTTCATCTGATCACTATATAATCAGAACCGAGAGAGGCGTTCAGGTTCACAGAGCTGGAACCCACCTACAGGAACAAACAGCTGGAACCAATCTTCTGTTGGAGGGAAAATTCCAGATTTTGTAAGATTCTTCTGCCTGGGTAATCTGTTGTTCTATTTGTTTATCTATATGCTATTTCTAGCCATCGATCCATTTAAAAGAAACCATTTCTCCCTTTTAAAGCCTCTGGGCCCAAGATCATGAATTAAGAAGTAAATGAATCAGATTCCAAAGTTTAAAATGAAAACAGATCTCTTTGGGGATGGCCTATATGTGGACGAAGGGAAATTAGAGAGACTGGGAGGTTTAGAAGGGATTCCTAAATTGTGATAAAATCCCCAAAGACCTGGGGAAGCCATTTGCTGAAGGGCATCTGGAACCCCCTGGATGCAGGCATTATATGTGGCTTGACAAGGAAAGGAACATAAAGTATGCTTTTTGGTCTGTTTTCTTGTAACCTTCCCTACGAATTTCTTTCCTTAAGAAAGTTTTGCATGCTCTTTGAAAGTAAAGTGGAACACATCCCAAGATCAGACGAAGGTACTTCCAGTCTACCAGAAAGAAGGAAGGGAGATGAAGGGAGGAAGATGCATTAAGTGTCATACTGTCACTTTGGGGGCTATAGCCCTAGAGCATATAAAAATGTGAAGCGGGGCCGGCCCCATGGCCGAGTGGTTAAGTTCGCGCGCTCTGGTTTGGCGGCCCAGGGTTTCACTGATTCAGATTCTGGGCACGGACATGGCATCACTCATCAGGCCACGCTGTGGCAGCATCCCACATAGCACAACCAGAAGGACCTACAGCTAGAATATACAGCTATGTACTGGGGGACTTTGAGGAGAAGAAAAAAAAAAAGATTGGCAACAGATGTTAGTGCAGGTGCTAATCTTAAAATAAAAAAAATGTGAAACTAGGTTGTAATTGTACCCATAGGTACTCATCATCAACTGTCAAGTTAACTCCCCAGTGCATAAAGTTTGATGGATCTTTTGCATGCCTGAGGGAAGAAGAAGAGAATATTAATTTTTGTGAAGAGTAAGGGATTGGTTTGAGACAGAGGATAGATAGTCTAAAGAACAGTTGAGACAAATTCCACTGACAGTAAGCTGACTGACAGTTATGTGCTTGGATGTAGAAGGATATGTGTGAATGAGATTGACCCCAGATATGAGGCCCTGCACCTTGGCCTAGGCAGAGTTACTTCTGCCCCACAAATAATCTCTCTCTTACTTATTGTCTCCCAATTCCACTTTACCTCTTTTTGGGGGAAATTTTGAATTGAATATATGAGCGAGGAAGTTGTGAGTGGGGGAGCAGATGTTAGACACCGATGGCCATGGTGGGTGCTTGCTGGGATTTTTTTTCTGGATATCTTAATGAGTCAAGATTATAAAAAGCCTGAGCAGCCTTATCTGAGTTGTTACGGAATGAATGTGCAAATTCTGCAAATCGGAAACAAAGATACTCCCTTATCTTTCCAGACTGGTACGTGAGGGCCTTCAACCTCCCATGAGCAAGTGGCTTTTTAGGATGTGAAGCTCCTATGTGGTGTCAGGTGGTTTACCTTCACTAGAGGTGGTCTATGGGCTTGGCTTATATGCTGAGCCTTAAGAGATGGCACATCTCAGTGAGACTAGGCCGCAGGTCATGCTATCATCTATTTCTTCCAGCTGGTGCCCTGTGCCACCAACTAAACTTACACAGATTTGTCTCTGCAATTCCATGGTCACTGGACTTTTGCCAGTGAAAGTAGAAAAGGCTCTCCCATGCTTAATGAGAACCATGGAATCTCAGACTTTTATAGCTAACAAATCTCTCTTTTTATAGATGAACAAATTTAGGCTGGAGAGGAAAATGGAATCAGTCATTAAAAAGTAATTATTGAAGGTCCACCCTGAGGCAGGCACTGTGATTAAAGGTGAATAATATGGGCTCTGCCTTCCTATAGATTATACACCTGTAGGAGATACTGACAAGTAAACAGGTAATTGTTTACCCAACATCACATGGATGATGTCTTGGAAATGACATCCGTGAAAACTAACAGGGAAATCTTTATTTTGTGATATCCTTGTGGGCAGATCCTGAGCTCTATGACTTTGCTTTGACACTTGTATCTAGTGAGGTGTCCTTGGTCTTTATATCTAAAGCATAGAGTATTTGGACAGAGACTCTAGACAGACCTGCCAGCTCACACTCCCTTCTGTAAACAGCAATGTCCCCACCAGGTATACAGCACCTGGGATGTCCTACAAAGGACCAGTTGTCTTTCCTGTGACTTGGGAGACATTGGCAACTTTCCTATCCACCACTGCCACCTAATGACTCCTTTGGGTACCGCCAGCTCTGGTTCTCTTTCGTAGTTTTTGGACTCTGGGATTCTGGCCTTGTTTGGAAGAGAGGTGTTGACTGTGTGACCTCTAAGGTCCCTTCGGATCTTGAGAGCCTGTGATTCTACAGTTGCCTTTGACATTAGAAGGCAATATTTGCCCATTGCAGAGCAAGAGATTTAATTGATTGCAAATCAATAAAACTTTGATGAAGTTTTCCCAAAAAACTAGAAAGAAAATACATCCAGGAGACTGAAAAGCACAATGTGAATGTAAAGAGCTTGGCAAATGGGTAGCACGGCAGCCCAGCAGCTGTGTGGGAGCAGCGGCCATGTAGGAATGCTTGTGATTCTTTTAGGAGTAGCTCTCCCCTCAGCTATCATGTTCCACGTTCTTGCTAAACTCCCAAGAACACACTTTTGCTTGATTCTATTACAAATTATACTCTCTGTGCTTAGTGGAAACCTTTTCAGCTACTATTTATTTCAGTTTTGTGGAATGACCAAAAAATTTCTTAATGTGTAATTTGGTATTCTTCAGCAGTGCACCAAATTTGTCTACAGTTATGAGACAGATGAGGTGGATCAATGCCAAATGCCGATGAGAAGGAGCCCTCCCTTTGCTCACTGTGTCACATGCCTTTCCACGCAACCAGCAGAACCCTGGATTCCCTTGTCTTTCTAGATTCACCATCAGATGCTGGGGTCTGTTAGCAACACTACAGGCTTTGTACTGGGACCCGTGACCTCTTTAAGGGCTGCAAAAACATTTGATATGAAAATAATGGTTATTGACTTACACACAAGAAAAGCACAAAATAAAAAATTAATAATAATTAATTTAATGTCTATGAAAATATATCATTTATTTTTAAATTTAGGATTTGTAAGAATTATATTACATTTGAGAATAATTTGAAGATCAAACTTTTCTCCTGTTCTGGGAATTTCTCAGTATGTGCCTTCATTGCCAAGAAATCATAGACAATCATGAATTAAATGAATTACTCATAGATAAATAATTTGAAAAACAAAATTACAAAAATCAACATCAAGTTTCCAGTGAAAAGTCAGTTTTATTGTTAGATGTAGGGGCATTCATATATATTTGATATAATGTGGGGTAGGACTATGGTGAGTTTTAAAGGCTCTGCATGTTCTTTAAAATTTTCTCCAAAGAACTAAAGATATAGTTAGAAACTGCCTGCTACAAACGCCAAATATATTTCAATTCCCAAGTCTTCAAATTTCATAAGAAATAAAATCTTAAAAGTTTATGAGAAATTTGTTTTCTATTTTGTTGTAATCTGTACTTATTTAATTCTATTTTTGATTATCTATCTTTGAGTTAAAAATCACGCTCCAGGAAGAAGTGCCGTATTTACCCTATAGATGTGTCTGAGTATCTGTGACACCCATCCCTGGGATGTGTGAGTTCTACAGTTTCAGATCGACAGATCTTGAGAGATCATGGCAGCCATCCTGTTCTTCTTCTCTTTCTTCTTCTTCTTTTGAGAAAGATGTTAAGAAGCCATTACAGAAAATTTTAAGGTCTTTGATTTGATGAAAAGATCTAAGGGGAGTTCGTTTTTTTAACCACGTAGTAACATCATTTTCCTGTTGTGTGACAATCTATGTACATCTTCAGGGAGAATTAGAAAATGTTCTCTTAGAATAATCCAGATTGTTCCCAATTCGAGAAGCTCCTAAGAACAAGCTTGAATTCTTCTTCCTCCAGTTCTCTGTAAGAGTTGACCCCAGACCCACGTCCAAGAATTACATGGATTCTTTCATGCTTCTCCCTGTTCTTTCTAAATAGTACATCCTAATTGCACCTTTGGCCGTGAACCACCTACTTCTTGGGGAAGAAAGTCTGCCTCCCTTCACCTCAGGGTGAAACTGCTCTCCTCACAGCCAGCTGCCTAGTTGGCTTGAGTACCTGCAACCCTGTCTTCAACAGTCCTCTGATTGACCCCTCCCTGGGCTCAGGGTTCCCTAAAAGTCTCTCTTCTTTATAGCTCTCACCTCCTATCCTACTCTCACCTCAGTAAATTAGAGCTCCCACCTCTTCCCCATGGATGCTACAGCCTCTTTGAGGGAGGTATTTGCTGTGTCTTAATGGTCTTGGTGTTCCAGGACCTAGCACGGTCCCTGGCACCCAGAAGGGGCTTATGTAATGTTTGCTATTAAATTAATTAATAAGTGAATTAAAGAATGTGAGTGGATTTTGTAATGCTATGACTGATAGGTAAATACTCAGTGATCCTTAAGGGATAGGAAAGAATGATTGAGGCTAGAAGTTGCGTTCAGGAAACTTTTAAACAGACTTTCCAAAGGAATGGACTGACAAGAGGTATGAGATAAATGGGAAGGGAAAAGAAAAGATATACTTAGGTGAGTGAAGATACCTGATTTGTGATGCCCTGTCAGAGAGAAAAGTCCCTGTCCTTTCAGCCTCATTTGGCAATGCTGTCTGTGCCCCTACCTCGCCTCCTTTTGCCCTTGGCAGGAGCCTTTATTGGAAGAGATGGCGATGAGCCTGTGCCCCCTGTTGTTGGTCTTCGTGCTGGGTCTGGGTCTGACCCCACCATCCCTGGCTCAGGATGATTCCAGGTACAGACAGTTCCTGACCAAGCACTATGATGCCAATCCAAGGGGCCGGAATGACAGATACTGTGAAAGCATGATGGTGAGACGACACCTGACCACACCCTGCAAAGACACCAACACTTTTATTCATGGCAGCAAGAGCAGCATCAAGGCCATCTGTGGAAATAAGAATGGAAACCCTTACGGAGAAACTTTAAGAATAAGCAAGACTCGTTTCCAGGTCACCACTTGCAAGCATGCAGGAGGGTCCCCCCGGCCTCCATGCCGATACAGAGCCACACCAGGGTTCAGAAGCATTGTCATTGCCTGTGAAAACGGCTTGCCTGTCCACTTTGATGAGTCCTTTTTCCGTCCATAACCTGCAGGCCACTGCCCAGAGCTGGATCTGCTCTCCTTCCCTTGCATTTCCCTTCCACACCCCAGAACAGTGGTGGCAACATTCATTGCCAGGGGCCCAGAAAATGAGCAGCCTGGACCTTTTGTTGTCTGTTTTATAGTATGTTTAACAAATAAAAATGTCTCTGAAATTAGTAAGAATCAAAGTCTTCTCACTGATTCTTGGCCTATTGATCTTTCCCCATTTTCTCTACTCAGCTGTCTCCTGGGAAGATTGGATGGGATAGAAATGCCTTTTTCTTTATCAGTCAGGTCCTTATCAGTCAGTAGGGAGGGGGACTTCACCTTTCTGTGAAGGTGAGGATGTTAAATTCATCTTACAGAGACAGCTGGCAAAACTCCAGGGCTCATGGCCACTGAGAAGAATTTTCAGGAGGCGAAAATTATTTTTGCTGTCAAATAATAAGCCAATATTACTTTTACAAGTGTTAAACCTTAAGGAGAAGAGTTTAGAACTTAATACCAACAGATTCATTCGACTTTCACTCTCTGTCTCTCCCTCTCACACACAGACACATGCACACACATGTAATCCTACGTGAGTACCAAAATCCATTCAGGGTGGCCACCTCTTGTCTTAAGCAAGAGGTAGTTTTGATGTTGTTTTAAATGGGATGCTCCCAGGATATTCTCATGGTTATTTTATATAAAGATCAAAAAATTTGATTACTTTACATTATTCTCTCTAATTTTTTACCTTATCAACTGGTGTCTGGCAACCGTGAGGTCTTAGGGAAGTCATAGATTGCAAGCTCATCCCTCATTCTTCTTCAACTGGGTTTATTTTCAAGTAAACATAAACTTAGGTTAACAGACACTCTCTTTGTAAAATATACTAATCAATCCACAGGTTCAGTGGTTAACTTCTTGTTACCTAATTCACATCAACAGATGCCTGGATATTTTATGTAGAAAGTAGTTAAAAATTACAGTTATAAATCACTAGTTTTGCCATCTTGTGACTATATGACAGTAGTAGTCACAGCATTCCTGATGGTGGCCTCTCCTGCTGCCTTCATTACCCTGAAATGGGCCAAAATCTCTGGTTCCCCAGTACCTGGGTTATAGACCAGTGTCCAGGTGCCACCTGGGAGAGCCCAGCCTTACTGAAAGTATTCCAATTTCTGGAGGAAGGGAAGGAGGAGTAGCTTACTGGCGCACACTCAGGACGTGAATCTGTCCGCCTTGAGTTAATCTATTTCAAAATTGAAAACACTGTCGTTTCCTAAGAAGGTGAGGAGAGGAGTTTTCCAAACCTCTCTTCTTGGAAAATTTGCCTTCTCATAAAATCTCAAAACCCCTTAGGAAGTGAGAAAGTTTCAGTTTTTTGTATAATATTTGGACCCTTTTCTCAGGTTCTCCAACTGGTACTATCTCCCTGACATGAGGCAAAGTGACTTCCATACAGATCATTGTCCCACTCAAAGTCTTGATGGGGAAGGTCAAAGCCTGGACCATTACTATATTGGTGTCGCCATAGCTGTGAAAACTCATGTCTTCTCCAAACATCTGCTTAGAGCATTATCATTGCACACCCTGCTCTAGCATTAGGGCAAATGACTACTTCCTAAGAAACCATATAGCCGTGGAGTAGTGGTGCTTCCCGACCTGCTGACAGAGCTAGCAGCTGGGTAGCCAATCCAGTACTGTTTGCTTCGCATCTCTTGTTCTCTCACAACCAAAAGCTATTTAGAGTGAATTGTCACGTCACAGACAAGACATTTTATCTCAAGCAAATCATTTGAGGAATTGAAGTACTGGTCAGCTGCACTTTGTTGACTTTGCAAGGAAAAGAGAAGAAAACCCCCCAAAATGTCAAGTCCTTTGAAAAGTGGTGAAATGGAAGGAAGAAAATACCATGCAACTGGAGAGAAAAACTTTCTTTAGGGACACAGGATAAATCCTAGTAGCTGAGATATTTCAGCTTAAAAACAGCCTTCTAACTTCTTGGGAATACAGATACTCTACAAAATAAATGGGGGATCAATAATATATGCAATTCAATGTAGCCATTCATTATTTTATCAGATTGAGGGAAGCACAGGAAACCAAGAAAAGTGAAAATTGTAAAAATGATCATTGCCAACATTTACTGAACACTTATTGTGGGTTCAGCATTATGATCAGCACTTTACATTGATTTTATCATTTATTCTAAGAGGTAGGTATTGTTATGTTCATTTTACTTATAGGAAATATGCTGAGAGAGGTTAAGTAATTTCCCCACGGTCACACAGCTGGTGTGGCAGAGCTAGATCTTCGGGATCATCATATGAAGTTCTTATTGAGAGTGAATGTGGTGCAATGGAGAAAGCCTTCGGGACAAGATCTGAACAAAAAGTATGTTAGGATGATTAAAGAATCATTTAATTTTCTGTTGTAGCTGCAGACTTGAGATGCACCCATTGATGTCACATTGGACTTTTCTTTTTGCAAATATTTTTCCATGTCTTGTTAAATCAGTTGGTTAGTGTGGCTGAGGTCATGGATTTGCTTTGCGTGAATAGTTTGAATCTTCACTGTAGCCAGTTATCTTACTAAACTACATTCTTGGTCACAAGGAAGCAGGATGTGAAAAAGTAGATAGAACTGTGCAAGATGAGAGGCACAAGATTAGATTTGGGAAAAACAACCCAGAGTACATCGTTGTAATGAAGCTATCACCTAGGTGCTAAGTGTACCTTCACAAGAGGTATCCATTGGTCTTGGCTGAGGAGTGAATCAAGCATCATTTCTCCCTGGCACCCTTCTTCCCATAACCCCTACACTTCCCTCTCTTCCTAACTCCGTATCTTGTATCTACAGCTGCAGTCACAGGAATATGACATAGAGCTTTGTATCTTTCTGTGTGCAGGCAAAAGGTGGCTGTGATGTAGGAGGTGGCATTTAAAAGAAGTTATTTTTGATACTGGTCATTGTTACCAACTAAAGGATGGGCTTTAGGTGGGACAAATTGCAGGTCCCTCATGAGCCATTTCAGTCACTCAGAGAGTATTATCAAACAGCATCTTTGAAAACACCGGACAGTAGTACTCGTATACCTCAAACCAGGAGTTCAGCTGAGGCCAGCCCTTGGACTGCACATGTAGATATGCGTCTGTCTGACTCTCAAAAAATTGTGCTTGCTACTTTGGGTTGCTCACTTCCTGTTCAATCAGAGATTATTTTTCTTTGCTCTAACGAGTCAGCCCTGCCTCACCGCAAGAGTCAAGTGGGTTCACAGTCCATGAGTTCCTGTCAATCCCAGGAGTGACGGCCAGATGGCAGCATCTGGCTAGTTAGTGTTGATGAGTGACCCCCACCTCCACTCCCACTCTCTTCCACCCCTGATTAAACTCTGATGCTAGAGAAGCAACTCTGAGCATAGACGTCTTTAATACCCTGGATATGTGGGGAGAAGGATGAGAGAGGCAGCAGAGGATGTGGAAAGAGAACATATTTTAGCAGATAGGCCTGGATTCCTTTCTTCAGATAACAAAAGCAATGTTCTCAAAGTCTCTCAAAGCACAGCAATGCTTTCTTTGTTCTTGCTCTGGAGGTGTTGTTGTTTGTATTTTAATTCTATTAAACATATATTTATTTTCTATTGCCAAGAGGTGCCAACACAATGATCCCGCAACTAGAGAAGACAGACAACTACCAACAGCCATTGACAAGACAGGCAGAGCATCAAGGATAGATGCCTGACAAAGGAATATATCACCAGGGCCTAGTTTTTTAGGTTGTGCACAGAAACAGCTAAGAAAAAAGACAGAGTGCAAGTCTTCTGTTGTGGAGATTGTGCTGTTTAGATTTATTTTTTAAATGTTTCTTAGCTTTTCTCATCAGTCAATTCCACAAGCCTCGGGAACACCTTCACTCTCTATACCCATTTCATTTTGTTTGTTCATTAGCCTGCTTATTTCATTTATTGCCTCATTCAACCACTAATTACTATCTTCAAAGCACTGTATTGGGTCCTCTGTTTTTGGTTCTTTTTTTAATAGGATTTACAAGATTTCCAAAAGGACTTGATTTTAATGCCTTTAGAATAGCCACATAAGAGAAAAGGCTAAACCTGAATGTTACTCTATCCTTTTTGTACTGCCTTCCTTAATTCCCAGATGTAAGGAATTAAAGTCAATTCCTAAACTTTCTTTGACATATCCTCAGTCTATCCAAACTCTTGGGAATCTGAGTCTCCAGAGAAGCAAACATTCTTCAGAGATCATACGACTTGAGAATTATCTCAAGAGACAGACAGCTCCAGTTTCATTTAAAGATCTTCTCTCTTTTCAAACCCTGACCATATAGACCATATACACCTGGACAGTCACCTGCCCTGTGTCATTGGCTACAGCAACTTCTCTAGAAAAGAGAAAGGCTCTTGCTTTCAGAGAAGACCATGTTTGCAAACTATTCACTCTTGGGAAAGCAAGAGTGGGAAAAGGTGTAAGCAAAGAGTGAGGAGACGGTACATGTAAGAAGGAGGAAAAAGGAGACTACAGAACTAAGGAAATAGCAGCTTGCTATTCTCAACACCTCTCTCCAGTGCCCAGTTCTTACCGTCCTTTCTCCTGCCCCTTGGTTTCTCCCTAGGCACCTCTGAGGTAACAATGGCTCTCCAGAGGACCTTGTCATTGCTTCTGCTCTTGCTGCTGACCATGCTGGGGCTGGTGCTGATACAGCCCTCCTACGGCCAGGATCGCATGTACCAACGATTCCTGCGGCAACACGTTGACCCTGAGGTGACAGTTGGCAGTGATGCCTACTGCAACTTGATGATGCAAAGACGGAAGATGACTTCCTACCAGTGCAAGCGCTTCAACACCTTCATCCATGAAGACATCTGGAACATTCGTAGTATCTGCAGCACCACCAGTATCCAGTGCAAGAACGGCAAGATGAACTGCCATGAGGGTGTAGTGAAGGTCACAGACTGCAGGGAGACAGGAAGCTCCAGGGCCCCCAACTGCAGATATCGGGCCATGACCAGCACTAGACGTGTTGTTGTTGCCTGCGAGGGTAACCCGGAGGTACCTGTGCACTTTGATAGATAGATACCACCTTGCAGAGGTTATGGCCCAGCGGTTGACCTCTAACTTACTCCTTGAATAGCAATGAGTGGTGCATTTGAGCTGTCCAGGCTCCGTCTCCTCTGCTTATTTCTTATTCTTTTTCTCTATATACCCATTCTGTTAAATAAGATCAAAGAGAAATGGAGACATAAACCTATAATAAATCTGGGCTTCTCTGTAATAAGTTCTCTGTAATAACCAATAATACTGGTTAACTTAGCTCTCTCAGATCCTATCCTTTGGAATTTAGCCATTATCTGTATTTACATAGCATTTCAAACTGCTTTCATCTAAATTGTCTCATTTTAATGCCACTGTACCCTGTAATGCTGCTGCTGCTGTTGTCATATATAGGAGCCTGAAGTTAAGGGATCTGCTGAAAACCATAAAGTGATGGAAATACTGAGAGAAAAATCTTGTTTAACTGGCTACTAATCCAGAGTTTTTTCCACTTCATCACAAGAAGTGTTTTGAAAGTACCTTTTTTTTGTTGTTATTCCCAAAAGTCAGCTGTTGGGGGAAGCATTAAAAATTTGGAAATATGTACTTGCAAAATGATATCTCTATACTTTGGCAACTTCATTGTGTTTGGATCTAGTAAGATCAAGAAATGATACAAGGAATTTTCTTTTTCTCTTCACAAATTATTGAATCACCCTAGTAAGTCAGAGTATTAAAAATGTACTAGATCATTAAGAATCATTCACTCTTCCCAAATGAAAGATTTTTCATGTTTTCCTTGTAATAAAGGCCCTAAATTGCAGGTATCTGAGAAGACTGTGCTGAGCTTCTTGTGTGGGGGATTATTTCTTTTTCTCCTATCCTCTTTTAATTCTTCTCTAGTTTACAAACATGCACACTCCTTAATATCCTCATAAAGTCTGGTCCAAGACTAACACCCATCAGATCGATGGACACGACACAGAAAATTTTGTCTTATTTACTCCAGAGGCAATGATTCCTCTCAAAGATAATTCTTACACCCTCCCTTCTCCCTTTAAATATTTAGAAACGAATTGGGGAACAATGTAGGAAGACACTAGCTGCTAAAGAAGGAAAGTGTGTGTGAAAGGACTAAACTGGAAACATTTCGTTTACAGCAGATATATACTTTGTATTTAAAGTGTATAACTTGATTTAGTATACATATACATTGTAAAATGATCACTAATTAACAAGCTAATTAACATAACTATCACCTCCCGTGGTTACCCTTTTGAGTGTGTGGTGAGAACACTTAGGATTTACCCCATTAGCAAATTTCAAGTATACAAGACTGTATTGCTACCTGTTAAAAAACAAAATCCCACTGAGGAAATTTTTAAGATATTACTGGCCTTATTCAATGGTTCATGAACCAGGCAGCATCCAGTCTAGCAGATAGAAAGGAGCTTCAAGAAGATGTACAAAATGAGAGACTTTTATAGGCAGAAGGGAGCAGAAACAAGAAAGTTATACTATGCAAAAAGGTGGGTTGGTTATGGCAATGTCACTTTCCTTTAGGGGATGACAGGGGTCTATCAGGTTGATTACCTAACTAGTACTGATCAGGGTATTCCTGATTAACTGGTTTAAGATTCCATTTCTGGGAGAGCTGAAACTGTAATTAAGTTGCTGCTTGGTGATGTGGTGCTTAGCATAAGCAACTCTATTTGGGGCCTATTGTCTTGTTTTAACATGCCCGTGGTCACTATGTTATACATTAGATCTCCAGAACTTAGTTGCAGAACTGAAACTTTGTACCCCTTGACCAACATCTCCCCATTTCCCACTCCCTCCAGCCCCTGCTTACCACCATTATATTCTACTTCTATGAATTTGATTATTTTAGATTGCACAGATAAGTGAAATTACAGTACTTGTCGTTCTCTGTCTGGCTTATTTTACTTGGCATAATGTCCTCCAGGTCCATTCATGTTGTCACAGCATGATTTCCTTCTTTTTAATGGCTGAATAGCATTCCATTACATGTATATAGCACACTTTCATTATCCATTCAAAATTATTAGCAGTCAGGGAAACGCAAATCAAAACCACAATGAGATATGACCTCTCACCTGTTAAGATGGCTATCATTAAAAATAAATAAATAACTGTTGCAAGTATAGTGTAATTCCTTGGCAGTTAGCTTTTTTGATTGTAACAGAAGTGCTTATATTAAGATTTTGATTGCCAAGGCATGCATTTCAAAGGCATCCACCTCAAATAAACACAATGCCAGCCACACACTAGATAAAGGTCCAGGCCTCCCCAGCCATGAAGTTCCCCTTTTAGTCCAGGGTAACCTAGACAACTGACCATTTGAGTGACTCTGCTTTTTCTTTCCTGCACTTTAATTCTTACTCTTGTGTTTTAAATTCACCAACAAAGAATGAACCATCGAAACCCAGGCACTGCACCCTTGAACCCAATAAAGGCGGAGCCCCAAGTCCACACTCTTCCTCCTACACTTTGGTGGGTGGCCCTGGTCAGTCCGTGTACCCTCTAAGGACATGTGGATAATAAGCCTTGTTTTTTCAAAGTTCCCTGATGGTTGTTGCTGAGGTGCATCTTGCAGTCACAATGAAAACCACAAAGGCCAGTCCAACATTGGCTCTGGTTGAGGAAATGTCTATGGGGGCACCCCACAAGTAGTAGGGGCCCAGGTGAATGCCCCCAGACATTTCTAACTTATAGCATGACTATCAGTAGGCTGAGACTAACACAAAACAGCAAGGATAGCTTTATTCAACAAATCATGAATCAGGCAGCAGCCAATTTAGCAAATAGATAGGAGATCCCAGGAGCTGTACAAAATGAAAGACTTTTATTGGCAGAAAGGATTCATGAATGATTGAATAAAGCCAATAAGATCTTTAAAATTTACTCAATTGAATTTTTATTTCTGCCACCCATCATTCCTATCATGATGCAGACAGCATAACTGAAACTTGTACTCTTAGGTATTCCTTATGTTTGATTGCCTGGTGATATTTTAATTATACATGATCATTCTGGGCTTCTCTTGATATCCAACTTCCAGAGAAAGTCTATGGTCATGTCCTTTCCTTAACTTCCTCCAAAGCTTTGGACCTCACTGAGAGAAAGAGAGCGAGAGTAAGCAAGATGATCATTAGAACTGGACTTGGGAGTTAGAGAGTTATGAGGATACATGTGTATTTCTGCCTAAATATGGCTTTACTGGGACTTCAGAAACTCATCCAAAGGCTATTAAAAATAGCTAATGCCTTGTCTTATTTTTTCTTTGAAATACTTATATTCCCTTTCTCTCTGGTTTAAATAGTTAAGGCAGATTTGAATTATAACGTTATTAATAATAAAAGATAATGTTTATCACAACCATCTAGGCAATCGAAATGGGTTAGTTTGGGAAAGGCTAAGTTGTGAAAATACTACAGTAGTTTAAGAACAAAGAATCTTATTTCCTTTTCATTTGAGAATTTCCAGGTAAGTGGTGCAAATTATTCAGAAATCCCATTTCTTCCATTGTTTTCCTCTGCCATCCTCTAGGGAGGAGATACTAAACTTTGTGATGTCATGCACCACTTTGGCATTCTGCTGAAGCTAAAAGACGATTGAGAATAATAATGACAATTGAGAAGAAGAGAACAGTAATAATTGTTCTCAGAATATGAGTAAATGCACAAAATACAGTGAATTGGATTATAAAGGAAATCAAATTGAAGGTTTAAAGTTTGTGATATAGTAATATACATGTTTATGAATGCATTACATAATAAGATCTAAATGGAAGTCTAATTGCTACTTTAATTTTGATGTAGTTATCCATGTAAAATATTTTGAGATATTTGCTACAACTATAAATTATTATGAAAGTATCTGTGATTTCTATTGTTTTCTACATTTGTGCATGAAGGAATTGCTAAATTTAAGTTGTAGGTTAATGAAAACAAAGATGTAATTTTTTTCCCTGTACCAGTTCATGGACCCTACGAATTCCATCCATAGAGTCCTTGGAAGCCCAGGGATCCCAGGTTAAGACACCCTGAGACATTATCATCATATGCATAAGGAAGCTTGTTACTATTATGGTTTTGAGAAACAGTTGTACCAAAAAACTGAAGAATTCAATAGTGGTTAACAAAAAGAAATATCAAGGAATTAATAGAAAAGAGTTAAAATCAAGGAAAATGTTTAAAGAAAGAATATGATTAGCAGATGATTTTAAATTTGTATTCCAAGGATAATATCTCCTTACGAGCTCAAATCAGAAGCCACAACCCAATCAGCTTCTGTTACAAAAGCTCGTAGGCAGACATATAGGAGGCAGACCCAATAAGCAGCTTCCAGAAACAATAGTTAACTTACCTCAATGGCTGCTCATTTCTACAGATATAAAGGGATGCTGTTCTCACAGTTTAGTTTAGGTTGCCTCCTAATTGGCCTCATATAATAGAGGCCTTAAAAGTTTTGGCTTAGTTCATGGTAGGGTTCATCGTTGTATGCTTTGGGTTCACAATAATTTTTTCCACATTGAAGTAAAATATCACACTTACTTGAGAAGCACTAGATTAACTAGTTGACACTGGAAATAACTGGGCTAGAGCAACCTTATGATAATATTTTCAACAATTGATGTCAGCATAACACTTTATCATTTAAAAAACTACTTTCATGTGCGTTGTTTCTTATAATTCCAAAAATTACTCCCTGATATTCTATGATAAAATAGGATGCCTTGAAAAGCTGTGGATCTCTTTCTTAGCTTGCCCCTTCACACGTTAGCCCTGGTAGCTTCTCCTCCTGCCTCTCTCTACATTCATTGAGTCACTACTTGATTTAAGTCTTCAGTAGATAACACAAACTTGTTAGGAAGGGTTCTGGATGTTTCAGCACATGACGTCCACCTTATTTTTTCTCAGTCATCTCTCAAGTCTTCTAAACCCAGGTCCCCAGAATTCCTTCGCTTTTAGTCTCCCTCTTCACCCAAAGAACTAGAGAGTAGTCGGATTTACAGAGTGTACTCTGAGACAACCTTCGTCTAGTCTATCAGCACAAGATTACCTATTATTCAAGGAATGTTTGACTTCAGAGGGGGGTTGAAGTGCTCCAGAGTTTCTGTAAACACTAACATGTCCCTTAAAATACTAATGTGGGGGAGGACAATTTTTTCCTCTACCTTTCTAGGTCCTTTTGGCTGATTTAATTAGTAAATTAAATTGATATAAGACAGCTTAACAGGAAAAAAACAAATTTAATTTTGTATGTATGGGGAGCCCATGAGTGGTTCTCCCAGAGTCGTGTCGGGACAGGGAAAATCCCCTTTCTTCTCTTCTTGTATTCTGTAGGGGAGGAAGACAACTCCTCTACCTTCTCTAGGTCCTTCTGGCTGTACTGCAAATTAAATTGACATGAGAGAGAGTAACAGGAGAAAATCAAACAAAGCTTTATAACATGTATACATGAGAGAAACTCAGGAAAACTGAGCAACTCAGCCAGAATGGCTGAAGTTGCCACCTTAAATAGCATCTCTAGCTAAAGCCAAAGGAGGATGTTGGGGGTAGTGGCTTGGGACTTCAAGAGGGAGGAAGGCAATTTACATGGAGAAGAAAATGCAAATAGGCCAACCATAGACAATGTGACCTGAGAGACATTTTACGTTACACTATAGTTGTCTTATGGTATTGTCTGCTTCCTGGAACAGGCTCTTCTATTTTAAATTCTTTTAGGCAGTTGAGGGGGAGGTCAAACTTTCTTTCAGAGTCTTTTGTTCTTAAAAATAGTCAAGCCAGAGGCCAGCCAAGTGGCACA